CGTAATTTCCCAAGTAGAACATGTACTTTACCCGGCTCTGCCCAGTATAATTGTCAGCAGTGGCCCAAGTATTCGGTATATACTATGCTTATGCATATGTGCGTTAGAAACATGTAAATGGGGATTCCGGAGTCCCTGAGAGCGCCCTTTTATTCTATTGTTTCACTAGTGAACACAATTCTCACACGTCATTTATTTTTATGTTGTTTAGTTACAAGTTACAAACATTACTCAACAATCCTTCCCCCACAAGAAAATAAAATACTCAACAATCCTTTTTATCCGTCTTGCTCTGCTTTAAGTCTATAATTATTTGCAGGCACAAATATATGTAATTCTCTACAAGAGGAAAAAGTCCGGTTCCTGTTCTCCCTGTTGGATTGATACTCTTACTTTGAAAAGGCTACAACTAAATCATGTGCACTTGCAAGCTATCATTAGCCTACCCTTGTTATCACATCTCAGCTTGGCGGGATCAGTGTTGCCTGACGGCATCGGCAAGTTGAAATCCTTGCACACCCTATACGTGTTTGAAAGCTTGGTAGAGAACAACAAGGGGCTCTGCAAGTTGACCAACTTGAGAAATCTTGTTTGAATGGGATTATTGTGACCAACTCGGCAAGTTTACATACTACCATATGTCCCGGGTTGGATTACCAGAGCACCATTCCCTCGGGGTTCTCTGATTCGGAAGCTCAATCTGGTCAGCTCCACGGCCTCTACAAGTTCAGTACTGAGGCGAGGGAGGTGGCTGATGGTGTGAGTATTGTGGCGCGGCTGCCTTCGCTTGCCTAACTTGTACCCCCTCCACTCCTAAATATTTGTTTTAGAGATTTCAATGCCGACTACATTTAAACTCAAATAAGTGAATCCATACAATAAAATATGTTTATATACATACATATGTAGCCCATATTAAAATCTCTAAAAGGTCATATACTTAGAAACGGAGGGAGTATTTTTGGTTTTTGTGACGAAGAAAAGGAAAAATGTGTAGACATCCCTTACACTGGAAGCGGGGCATTTAGAGCACTCAAGCACCTGCTCTTCCGCAGGGCCGTAACTGAGAAAACGGAGGCTTGGTGCGAAATCCAAATATGGGTCCTTGACATTTTTATTTTTCCTTCTTGTTCATATCCTGACATGACTCATACTACTTGCTACTTCTAGAAGACATTGTAGAAAATAAAGCCAAGAGAAAAATATCAAGAACTAAGAACTTAATAAAAAGCAATGAAGCAACCTATGATGTACTTGAGAAGCAAGATTATAGGGCAGCAACATGTGTGCTCTTACTTTGGTTACTCCTGTTGATGAACCAGCTTTGACAACGAACAACTCGAAATCTCCAATTTCAATCGAAGCTCCAATTGATGCTTTTCGGTTGCACGGCCGGCAACGAGTAGCGAAGCATGTCCAGAGAAACACTGATATGCGGACTTGCAGATTTGATATTTGAGAACAAGAACACCAAATAATATCGGGCAAAAAAAGAACAAATAAAAATACAGGGACTGGGTGTACTAGAGCGTTAGTATTTAGATGCCATCACAATGGGTAAATTTGGGGAAATCGTGGAGAGTTATTAGATGGGGATTGGAAAGGGAAAGTAAGAAAAGAGTGAAGGTTCAGTGATATAGGATTTTAATTAGAACGGAAAAATGTGCCTGATGTTTGATGAAGACCAAGAGGAACAGAGAGTGCCGTGCGTGAGGAGAGGAAGGATAATTAATTGGTTCAAGCTTCCATGTAGAATAAACTATACCTGGAGTAGTTAGCTAATACGGCTGATTTGGGGCCCCGTTGGTTTGGGGGCCCTGTGCAGGCGCACACCCTGCACAGGTGCCCGGTACGGGACTGATCCAGAAGGCACATCCCCAACCTATATCCGTTCTTTTCAGGATTCCAGGCTAGGAAGTCAGGTTCTTGCCGTGGTGAGGTTCTGATCCATAGTATGGCTTCCACATCAATCGGGGCAAAGGTCGCCCGGATTTTTGCTTCGTCCCACTTCTCATGTTGATCCAGCAGACTCAAGACCCTATTTAAGCGGGACCGACCCCGAGGACTTATCGGTTTAAGCGCTGATGAGCGAGCTAGGGATCCAGTTCCCGCCATATCCGGACTGATTCTCCATATCATCCCTTCCTTAAGCAGCTCAAGACCGTAAGCAATGGCAGGCCAAGTAGATGATGGTAGGCCCGAGAACACCGTATCCAGAATGTTTCCTTGGGGGTAGTATCGGGCCTTAAGCACACGAGCACGCAAGCTTTCCGGAGACTGAATCAGACGCCATGCTTGGCGGGCAAGGAGAGCCTGATTAAAAACACGCATGTCTCTGAATCCCATGCCACCCTGTTGTTTGGTACGATTCAATTTATCCCAACTCAGCCAATGCACTTTCCTCTTTCCATTCTCCGCACCCCAGAAGAGATTCCGTATGAGCTCACTCAGATCATCACAAACCGACATGGGAAGTTTGAAAACTCCCATGACATATGTTGGCAATGCTTGGGCTACCGCCTTAATCAAAACCTCCTTCCCACTTTGGGCAACATAGTTATCCCCCCAAAGCATGATATCTCGATGCCTTTATTCCATGTCTCACACAATGGAGTAATAAATGGCAGCATGTTGGTTGTTCAGTAAAGAAAGATAAATTTTGATTCATGGATGCTTCTATTATTCGATAAGTAATATTGTGATTGTGGGCAACATAAAACTGTTCTCGTAGTCCTTAAGCAAGATTATATAAAGATCAGAGTCTAAGAGCATGGCTAATAAGAAAGCCCGCTGCCGGCTCTATACATATTCCATGTCACCTACAACCTTTGTGAAAAAAACTCATATAATAGAATGGCTGTAGATTGAATACTAAAGTTGGCTATAGCATTTAATTCTTGCACATGAAGAAGGCAGAAAAACACACATGATTGGATGAGAACACTAAGAACCAGATCTAGCGCTTGCACATGCTGCAAGCTAGCTCTTCTGCCTCGTAGCTTGTGCTACACCCTGGCTACATATTTAGCATCCACTTCACTCTCTCTCCTTTCTCTCCCTTGCACCTAGGATTTAAATGACATGGCACTTGCTATACTCGGTTGAGTATGCCTTATTAGACTTGCTCTAATGTAACATTTCTCGCTTCTTTAGCTTAACTATGAGCCCATTTTTCATCTCCAGTATACAAGATGACTTAGGCTCGATGCATTGCCCTTTCATTAACTCCACATCGAAGTTCCACAACGTTGAGGCAATGACGGTCTTCATCTGCATAACCGCGATGTCCTTGCCGAGGCACATCCTCGGACCCGAGTTGAAGGCCAAGAACTTGTGAGATGGTACGTACCTCAGCTTGTTACCATCCTCCGAGAGCCACCTATCTGGATTGTAGTTGAGGCAGTCTTTACCCCATATGCCCTCCATTCTTCCCATGGAATGGAGAGAAATAAGGATGGTGTCGCCGGCATGCACCTCATGACCACTCGGCAAGATATCATTGGTGACCACCATCTTGCGCTCGAGAGGGGCCGGTGGGTACAACCTTAGAGTCTCGTACAAGACAGCTCTCAGATAGACTAGAGATTTGGTCTCGTCCGGCTCAAAGATTACCATGGCATCTGGATGGGCCGCTACTTTGCATGATGCGATCGGCGACAGTTCATTGCGGATGATTGACACAATATTAGGGTTCTGGGAAAGGTTGTAGAAAATCCATGTCAGAGCCGTTCCAACTGTGTCCCTCGCAGCGATCATGTAGCTAATGGTCAATGCATTGAACATGTCATCATCGGTATAATAGGGGTCGTCGAGGAAGGAAGACATTATATCAACACCCTCATGTTGCTTGCCATTACCAACGGAAGATGTGTCAATCTTCCTCCTCTCCATCATCTCCATGACAAACCCACGCAGCACCTTGTGTGCTGCCTTGAGCTTCCTCTCAGGGCCGATGTTCAGCCGCCTCATCAACTTCCAACAAGAAGCTGGCACCACGACCCGAAAATATGCCACCTCCATGACTGTGTCCATGGCGACTGCGGCTTCCATGGGAGGCATGTCCAAAGATAGAAGGCCGGGGTCCACGCCGAAGAGAGGCATAGCAGCAAGGTCAAACATTAACCTCGACATCAGTTCTTGCATGTTGAACGAAGTGCTGGTTCTCGCCATGTGCGTAAACAACAGGAGGAGGTTGTTCTCCACCTTGTCGCGGGACCAACCCTCAATCCTTGCAACCAACTGTGGGTTGCTGAGCACGCTCTTGATTTTCGTGCGCTGTCGACAAGCTGGCTCACCGTCGATGGTGAAGATGCCGCCGCTCATGATGTCAAAGATTGCGGCAAACTCCGCACCCTTGGGAAAGTTGGTGTAGTTCGTTGTGAAGATGTGCCGGATGTTGGCAGGATCGCATGTGACGAAAAACCGCATCCCGGTCCCGGGTGGGCCGTGCACCCTGAAGTTGTGGCCTGATCTGGCGAGGACCAGGGTGAAATAGTCATTCATCTTGTGGAAGTTGGCCACGAAGGAAGGGAACATGCGCAGTATTGGCCAGTTTGTGGGGAGCACCGCTGGGTTCTTTGATTTACAACTAGCCTTGGAGTACAAGTAGTACAGGGGAAGAACAAGTAGCAGGAGTGCTGTGTAGATGGGAAGCTCTTGCGAGAACATAATTGACATTGTTAGCGTGAGTAGTGTGGGGTATGCTAGCAGCTAGTACTAAGATGTATTCTTCAATGGACATGGCTATGGCCGGGTTCATATATATAAGGCAAGTTTGGTACCTCCATCTGATATCTCAGTCCATTGGTCAAGCATCCCCTGTTAGTGCATGTTAACTTAACTGCACTTGATTGGGTTGGCTATGACTGAATGAGCCCAAAGCCTAGTACTGTTTAGTTCTAAGTCACTACGAATCCAGGTACCTCTCCTTTAATTGTTGATTGTGATTTCCTGCAAAAAAAAATTGTGTTGATTGTGATTAAATTTTTTTTGCGGGAAAATTGTGATTAAGTTGCACTACTAATCTGTCCAACCGTCAATTATTTTCCTTTCTTTTTGAAACGAGGATAGCCTTCCAAAAAATGCAATGTGTATTTTGTGCATTAGCAATCATTTTAAAATGTCAAAAGCCCATAAAAAAGCAATAATTTTAAAAGAACGGAGAAAGAGGGAGAGAAATCTAACCGAGCCTCTACACATATTTTTACTTCACTAACTAACTAACTAACTAACTAACTGACGCACACACTAACTTCATGCATGCACACTACACCAACCACTAAAGCATGATCCGGCAACCACTTGCACATGCACGGCAAACAGACTAACTAACTGGCACACCACTTCTCATGGCTTCAACTAATTGCGTAGCCGGTCAGAATTCAACCGCCCACACGCTTCCGCATCACACGACCTTACCGCCTCACACGGCACCTGACATCGTCATCTCACTGTGCTCGCAGTATCGCATGGTGGCTTGGCACCTCGCCTTCTCTGCACGCATCCACTGAAGCTTCGCGAGACTAGCTACTCCGATCCCTAACCTGTGATACATGCATAACGAAAGCAAATTAGATATGCAAATACAAAATATAAAGATTAGTGCTAACAACTGTCCCTATTCCCACCGTCTTTGGTTGTTCTGTTAATTTTCATACTTTATCTACCTGGATGGATAAATCAAGGAAACAAAGCGAAACAGTTCGCAAACCATAAGATAACTAGAAATTCGTGATTGTCTTTCGTAGAATCTCTTGTTCAGTCGTAGGTGAACCTATTTATCTATTTGTTTACGTACGCCCAACCTTATACGGCTCATAGAGGGAATGCATGCAATTGCGAAGTCCCACGAGACAGGGAAGACATCGTTGGCCTACAAGGCTACAACATCGGCGACGGCGAGGCCACAAAAGAGTTGACGGTTAGAGTCGAGGGTGTGTGTCGAGGGTGCTGAAATAGGTTCTGGGGTGGGGGTGTTTAGAGAGACCAGGAGTAGCAAGCACGCTAACAAGGGCATGGCCCATGAGCGAGCCAGCCAGACGGTCATGCCGCACGACCCGCCTGTTGCAACTGGACCATCCCGGTCCGTGGACGATGCAGAACATCGTGCGACAGGGCAATGACAGGGCCATTGGGCGAGCGCCCGCCACCGCCCAATGACGGGTGTCCCTGGGACGCTCGGTGATCCGAGCCGTCCGCGCATATCAGATGCTCGGAGAGCCCCGGGGAGGCCCCCACGGCACGCAACCGCCGGATGGATTGCCCGGAGGCGCTCTCAACCCACTAGCGTGCATGTTGCGACCGATCCTTCTTGGCATGGGGCGAGGATGCCGCCAAGTGATTCAGGGCACGACTTCACATGCAAGAAAGCATGTGGTGGCTCCTGCGAGCGATCTTGACGCCGCCCAATGACAGTGGCCCTGGGCTCGTCGGGCGATCCACCTGTCATGGACATCCGAGTCGGGTCGCCCTGATTTGAGCCATCCGGGCAAATCGGATCGGGTCGCGACGCCCCCGAGTAGCCACCGAACAACAGACGGATCGGAGGCGCTCTTTGCCTGTGAGGCGCCCAGGGTGGAGGGTACTGCACCATCCTTCATAGGAGTATAATTTCCTAATGCGAGCAGCCAATTGCTATTCTTTTGGCAGTGATATTATTATTTGTTAACTAACTATTGTAGCTGGAATCTTTCTCAATTGATTAACCCATTGATATTTTTTAAATTTTTTAAATTTTTGTTTGATCTTTGGTGCAATATTTCCTGCTGCAATGCATGGCTTCAAAAAATATATATTTTAGTTTGATCATACACATAGCGATGTATGTATATATATGTACACTGCCATTGCATCTAATAACAATGCAAGGCCCATTCCATGTTGTATATTTTGTTTGTTTGATAAGTTACATAGTTTTTCAAGTGCACATATGACCACTAAGCTGCTTAGATTGGATTTAAATAGTATTGTCCTCAAGCTGCAGTGTGGAGCTTTAGCATTTAACTTCTTGACATGCTTGTAGGGTTAGAAAGCCCATTTTTTTCCTGTGATAGCTACTTAAGAATTAGGTGCAACTTAAGCATATTTTTTTCTACCACTTCTTGTCGTACAATGAGCTGAGTCAGAGGCGAGGCAACACATGATCCATGGTGCCAAGGTTCCACAGTCATGACCCAAGAGGCGGAACCATGGTTTGAGAAAATGGGGAGCAATCATGGCAGAAGATAAAAGGAGGGGCTGTCCCAAATCCGGGCCAAAGTGGCATGTTGATGACTCAGCTTATGCAACTGTGATGGGAGGTGCTAAATGTTTCTGCATAAAATTTATTTATTTTGTACCCGTTACAAGGGCTCTTTTGCTATATATCTAATAAAATAATGTTCATAGAAGCTCAATCACGATGATGCACAACGTCGACCTTGGGCTTTGCGGCAATCAAACAACAACAATACTCGGCTTCCCGGCAAGATCCCTTGGTGTGACCAATGATCCTACAATAGTCCCTACACTGGGCTTCGTTGCATCCATCTTCAATCAAACCGCATGATTCTACACAAAAAGATTAAATGAATTACAATCATAAATAAAATATGGGTTCCTTCATCAATCATTGTTGATAGGTGCTATTAGCTACAAACATAGATGCAAGGAAAAATTAAGTATATGCACACAATAGGAAAAAGAAGGATGTTAACCTTTTGGATCAGCATCACATGACAACATCAGAGTGGCCATCACCAACATCAGGGCCGCCCAGCATACAAAGCTTGCATTGCTCTTCCTAATCGCCATCACAAAATACAATGCTAGCTATGTACTGGCACTCTCTTCTTTTTACCGTTTGATCTGATCTACCAAATGTGTTGATGAGTACATCGATTTGCTAGCGTTTATATAGGGCGAGCACGCTAAGTCATCCTGAGTTTTTGGTGGCAATTAAATACCACCCTAATATTAGGGAATTAATGGAACAAGTATTGCACACCCTTGAGTACTTATCACCTCACTGACTTTATAGCATGAATTGATTCGTTTCCTTTTGTGGCGCGTCTGCTCTATCTATCCAATATCCAATCTAGATCGCATAAAAACAAATATGTATCTATATCTTAAATAGAGATTCACTAGTATAGAAACCCCTGTGGCCTCGTTTGACAGGGGAGGTTTTGTAGCCCCAAAGTGGATGGGGATTTGAGAGGATTTGGTTAATTCCTCTCCTCCACCCAATCCCCTCAATTTCTCACTAATCCCTCCCTCCTCATAAATCCTTCTATTATTTGGTTAAACCTCCTACAACAACAACAACAGCATAGCGAGCGTCCAACTCTCCTCAGTTCCACGAGTGGCTACGTGAGTTTTCTGTACCACGTGGATTGGGTGGGATTCATGGGTATTGGCAGACTAAGGCATAGCCTAGTGGTGGAAGGGGTTGATGCCTTCTCACCCATCCAGGTTCAAGACATGGTACTTGTAATTTGGGTTTGTTGCACCAATTATACTGTAGGGGCCTCCCTTACAATTTTTCTGTCAAAAAAAAATCTCTGTGTGTCAAATGGGCTGAGAGGGATTTGTGAGGATTTTGGGCCCTGAGTGGATATTCTCCTCCAAACCTCCCCAAACGTCCTCCATCAAACAAGGCCTTGTAGGATTTTCCCTATCAGCAGCGACCTGGAAAAACGAAAAACGAACGCATCAGTTAACTTGGACAAGTAGTAGCAGCGTTTGCCGATTAAACGAATGCTGCAGATAGATATCCTTTAGCAGCATTCGAGCGCTTCGCACGCTGCTAGTGGTGTACATCCAAGCTAGCCATCAGCCAGGAACTACTAGCAGCGTCCAGTGGGCCGAAACGTCACTAGTGTACGAAATATTAGTAGCGCTCATACTGGCGGAACGTGCAAGTTCATTTACTACCAGCAGCAAGCTTTCGAGCTTGGACGCTGCAAATGTGGTGGATGTAAATATTGGCAGCACTTTGGCACATCAAACGTCGCTAATATCACCGAACAATAATTCTCTCTCTCTCTCTCTCTCTCTCTCTCTCTCTCTCTCAGCTCCCATTCCCCTGTTCGGCCATAAGCTCTTCGACGTGTTCTGCGAACCTGGCTGTGTACGGTGACTCCTCGCGTTGCAACAGCGGGTCGTCTGTCTGATCTGGTGGCATTTCGTACGACATGGGCTCCTTCGTGGCTGCAACAGCCTAGTTGTGAGGAGAATCACGTACACTTGAAGAAATGAAAGTCAAAGAATTTCTGATGTGTGCACGCAAAGGAACCAAGGTATAACCAAACATCTCCATCTTTCCGTTAGTTAATTAGAGCATTTGGAACTCTCGTTTCATTGCATTAATTCGTACGCACACATGCATGCAACAACCTTTCTCTTGCCACACATGTAAATTAGTTGGTCGCGTACCGCAGTCGATTACTCACAACCCAGTTGGACGATGCATTGATAGATGCATGAGAGAAGAAGTCAAGATGGATGAGAAGCAAGTGAAGATGGATGAGAAGCAAGCACAAATTAATTTTTTGCACATCCAAAATAGCGAGCTGCGAGCGCAGTTAGAGAACTTTAAAAAGCTTCGATGTGCACTCCTAGTTGTTGTGACGATTTGTTTCGTACTCCCACTTGGATGAGTAGCAGGATTTCTTCTAGTGGCATCCATTGCATTAATGATGTTTTTCACTTAGGCTTTTACCTATAGAGGAGTTGTTGGCCAAGTTGTTCTTAGTTAATTTCGCTAAGAATTTGTGGTTACTTCATGGGGAACAATTAATTTACCAAGAATTTTGTTAGTTAATTTCAAACTATTACTACGTTTCTTTTACCGTTGTGCATCTACAGAATATCAGCACAGGAATGCAGGCAGTAGTTCCTCATATACATATAAACTTCTCAATAATATATTAATATATATATATATATATATACATATATATATCTAAAAATTTGTTAACATCCTCTAAAAAAATAACAACCACAAATTTAAACAACCTAAACAACTATTACACTAGTGCAGAACAGGGCAATAGCACCGGTTCGTAAGGCCCTTTAGTGCCGGTTTCGGAATCGGCACTAACATTTCGGCACTAAAGGCCCCCCCCCTTTAGTACCGGTTCAGCACGAACCGGTGCTAAACGGCAACCACGTGGCACGAGCCAGATCCGGGGGCCGGGAGCCCTTTAGTACTAAAATGTTTGGGGGATTTTTGGTTTTATGATTTCTTTTTCATTTAATTTTGTGTTTTCCATTTTAATTCTTTTTCGTTTGTTGGTATTT